CAAGCAATAAAGCGGATGATGATCCCAAATTGAATTACTGCTTGCTGATTCCAGCCTTTCCAGATTGCATATTAATCGGCAAATTGTTGAAAGTTTGTTATCACCAGCTGCTGATTTGATTAAATGTTTCGGCCCCTTCCACTCTTCTTAAAGTCCTTGATTCAGCTTTTCAGACAGTACAGGATGGAGAGGAGGTTTTTGCTCAGTTTTTGAACATTTTTCAATCAATCAATCAAATTTTATTTGTATAGCATTTCAGCAGCAAGGCATTTCAAAGTGCTTTACATCATAAACACATAAACAAAGTCATGCATCATGGAATAAACAATACATTGTTACATATTACATTTCAAATACAATTCCAAACAGGTGTGTTTTTAGTTGAGATTTAAAGGAAGAATCAGAATCCTGGAGAGCAGCCATCCTCCTATCTCCAGCGATTACAGCTTACCCTCAGCACAGTAATAAAAAGAGGAGAAATATTACAAGGAAGAGCTGCTCTTTAAAAGTAGAAAATGGTAGGTTTTATCGTGTAGCTGTTGTATCCTGGGGAGCATTCATCGGTTATTATTACCTGTTTCACTACCAGTATAAAATCTATATTGTTTTTCCCAACAATAAATGCTGTTTGACTCAAACTTGTTATCCACATTTATATTGCTGTTTTGACACTAGGGAGCATGCTGCCAATGTACAAGTGTTCATCGGTGTGTTAAAATAAGTTATTCCACCAATTTGACATTGATGAATGAGATGTCTGTTAAGGACCCATACACATTAAATACTTGATCGTACCACAAACAACTTGCTATTACTTAATATTTGCTATCAAGTAAACTATCATCTGCCTTGAATGAGATATGTGGAGTACCTCTAAATAAGACAAATCTATGCATAGTGAGTAATAAGGGCAATGGAATAAGGTTTTCCTAAAAGGTAAGTTTAAAGAAAACAAACAAAAAGCAAACACAGAATTTATATAGGACAAATAAAATACAATAATTTATTCACAATTAGAAGGAAAATTAAGTTGAATTCATCAATACAGGTGATAAACTAAAAATTAAAAACGCAGCAGGTTTATAATGGGATGCTGTGTGAGGTACAGACAACGTGCTAAAAATAACACCTGAAAACAGCAGACGCAAGAAATCTCTGTGTTTGAGATGAGAGGTAATCTGTACTGGCTGTGAGTTGTATTTCATTAGCCTAACTGTGAATAGTTTCAATAGTTAGAATAATGTATTCTTGCCTGCGTTCTGAATGCGACAGTATTGTGGCTACTCTACACAACATGACATCAAATAATAATCCCTCTGTAGGATATAATGTCACTGACAGAGATACAATAAGTTTATAGCTAGTGTGCAAATGATATACTTGTCTGACTGCTGCTTGCAGCAATCTACATTATTAGCAGAAATAGAGGAACACCAACACCAAAGTTCATTTAGGGGCCTATAAATATGCATGTATATATGCTTGTAAATATGCTTGCATGTGTAAATGCATGTATATATGCTTATGAATAATACAATATGTGCAGGCGGTGCACATATTGTGTGTAGCTGCACATATTGTATTGAAACGTGTGGATTCTCTCTTAAATATGTTTTTTTTTTGGGGGGGGGGGGTAGGATTACACCACACCATGTCATGACAAAAGCAGTTGGGTGTGAATAAATTATTTTGCTCAATTTTTTAAACAGGGATCCAAAACCAAATTTTTTGATAACATACATCACACAAGGCCATTCTGTTTGATCAAATGCATATCTGAATGATTTGAGTGTAAAAGACAATGCAGATTAAAGTATAAAGCCAGTCTGATCTGGGTGGATGATTAAACCTATCAGTGATGTGCGGTCAGGGGAGGCAGAACCTCACCTGCCATCATTGAAAAATATCATATGATAATGATAAAATAATTTATATTGTAAACACTAAACAGCAGAGAACAGATTCGTGGTGAGGCAGGCAGTTCTCTTGCCTCATAGCAGGGGGCGCTCATGATCCAGGACATTATGACTCCACAACTGCAGAGTAAGAGACAGTAACAGCAAGCTGGTCATACAATTCCTGCGCTGATACAAAGAGCGAGAAAGACCTGCTTTTGAGTACTTTCAGGGTTTTCCCCTTTACTGTGGAGCACAGCACAAAATTAATATCTACATGTCCAAGTTTGACTGACTTAACGGAATTATTCTGCTGCTGCCGCGCGGCTACGTATGACATGTAGAGTATTTTTGTCCTCCAGCGTTGTCCGCATGCGCGAAATTTTCTTAACATGCAGGGGGTCTATATTTGTAAATATGATTATGATTAAGTCAGTGCCTCACCAGCTATGAACCTCACTGCACATTCTTGATATAATAATAAAATGCCATTCAGATTTGACGAACGACCTGACAAAATAAAACTGAAATACTGAGAAATTAACTTCAAAACTACTCAACTAATTAAACAAGAAAACTTGTTTAATTGAGCAAATGCAGCATACTGTGTTGTAAAACAAGTTATCTCCTCCCTTTGGTGAAGGAGGAGTATGGAAGTAAATACAGAAGCAGGGAAATGGAACTTGGTTTCTCACCAATCAAGTTCTTTATCTTTGTGATTGGGCTTTAAGCCACACCAAATGAGGCCAAATCTGAGGCACAGCCTTGGGAGTGCTAGCAGCAAATCCCTTACATCACAGGTGTCAAACTCAAGGCCAAATCTGTCCTTTTATGTGACCCTCAAGACTCATCACACAAAAACTGGAGTCAGTAAGACTCCAGTTTTTCCACATAAAATCAACAAATTCCCACATTTTCTTTTTGCTGCAATTTTTTCTAAGAATTATTTTTTCTCAAAAATATTGAGTTTAAGTGCCTCCTGCCTCCGGATTACATGATGTCAAGTTATAATCTGTGATTGATACTAGAAGCAAAAAGTCACATTTAACATCATACATTACGACAACATTCCTTACAAGTATTTCTACATTCATCCCTCATAATCTGTGAATTTGATTGGAAAAAATACAAAAAACAATCATAAAACCCTGGAGGGACTGATCAGCAATTATTCAGTTTTAACACTTAAAATATTACTGAAAGCTGAAACAAGCAGCTATTTATTAACAGTTTAATTGGTTTTATCGCCACATTCTGGCACAATTGGCCCTTTAAGAACATTCAGATTTTTCATTAGACCCAAAATGAAAAGGACTTTGATCCTCCTGCCTTACACAAAGCAAAGTCTTTTCAGCCCTGGATGAGGTCCTCTTCTTCTGCTGCATGATTCTTGTAAATGTCTTGAGCTTGCCTCAATAGCTGCCAGAAGAATTCAACATTCTACTCTTATTCTGCCAAATCCCTTCATTCACTGATGTTTAGTGGCCAGCTTTTAATGCATTATCCATCTCAGCTTTCCAGCCCCAGAGTTAAAAACATCTTGGGTTTGAAAACTTTTCGGACACAATTCAACATGCAGACTGTGAGGCCTCTGAGAATTTATTATGAACAGATTAGGAAAAGGTTCAACTGGGTGAGCAATCATCACACACTTGCAGCATTACATGAAAATCATTGCACATTCTTAATCATTTTTCTTCAGTAGTTATTGACTACTTCTTTAAAAGAACAATTAGTTCAACAGTCTAACACATGCTTCAATACCAGGCTTTCAGATGAGTTTGAATGATCTCAAAGTAGCCATCATAAGTCAATAATCTCTGCATAAAAATATGGAATGCTCTCACACATTCTCAGGTCACTCAAGACTCCATCTTACTTCACAATTTATGTACTTTATATTCTCTGCAGAATCATTGTCAAAAATCACAACTCATTTAACTAAAACATTTTAAATATTTAATTAGCATGTCTGAACCAACAAATAAGGAACCACATAATTTTAATCAGTTTGATTACATACAAGCAAATTTCTGTAAAATAAAAACATTCATTAATTTATGTGTAAACCTACTTGCTCCCTTCTATAAGAGAAAATGTTAAAACATGCCTTTTAACTGCGCTATTCAATTCCCCAATGTTGCAATACTTTTATGCTTTAATTATGTCCTCTTCATTTATTTTATACATGGAAACATCTTACTGATTATGATCACTAAAAAAACAGACATAAAATGGGGGAAAAAAACCACCATACATTACAGAATCATTATTTCCTTAAAGTCCCTCAGGGTTCATGAACCCGAAGGATGATGGTTTCTAAAGCCGTCTACATATACATCAACATTTTCACCCAAGTTCTGTTACCCCACTTTGTGGTTGTCAGTCTACATCGAACAGATCAGGATTTCAGGCAGAATAATTACCAAGATACAAAATAAACATTCCAAAGTTGATTACATCCCCAAATTTGTCAAATTTGATTGTTTACACATATAAGTGAATCTTTTATTTAAAAAGAAATATTTTTTACATATTAGCAAAATAAGGAGGGAAGCTCAAATTTCATTTTTACAAGGTGCTAAATGTGTCAAAAATAACACCCATGTATTATCTTGATATGTAGTAAAAATAGAAAGATCATATATTCACTAGATCTGTAGAATGTGATACAAAAGTCATTCTCATGTTGCAGTTTGGCCCTCTGCTGCTGTGGAAAGAGGGTTCTTCAGTGGTTTTCATAAAGAACACTTCAAAGCTGCAGTATATAGCAAAAAAAATATTTTTTTTGTTGTTCAAACTGTTAGTGTCATGAAAGTTTGTGACATGTAATCTGATGATCAGTCTGTGAAAAGATTGAGCACCTCCACCAATAGCGCTACTATTCCTATTTGTAGAAAAGCACAGTTCGTGCTCAAAAACAACCAATCAGAGCCACTACTATTGTTGTCAATCAAGCTCATGCATACAAATGAGTAATAACAAATACCCATCCATTATACACTTATCCCTAGTGGGGTGGCGAGATGCGCTGATGCCTATCTCCAGCAGTCAACGGGTGAGAGGGGGGTTGACCCTGCAAATCCATCGCAAGACTATAACAAATATATAAAAACCTTTTTTTATTTGAAGTTACATACTACAGCTTTAAGAAAAAAATATAAGGCCACTGGACTTTCAGAAAAGTTCAAGAATACTGGGCCCAGAATTGTTGGATCCATCCCAGACTCTTTTCTGTGGAGTCTGCAGGTAACAGAAACAATTATCAGTTGACATCTTTGAATTACATCAACAATACTTAAAAAAGACTCACCAAGTGGCTTGTATTCACAGCCAATATATCCTTGATAACCAAGCTTTTCCAGTGTGTTTAACAGGTATCTGTAACACAACTCTCCATCGCTGTCAGGTTCATTCCTGCCTGGAACCTGTGCAATCTGAACATGGCCTGAGTAACAAGACATTTGGTTTTTAGATCACTGCCTACCATGCATTTCATGCACTATACATTCTCAGTGAAATCACATTGTGATACAATTATTATTATTATTATTACAATACCTGGTTCCACATCATGTTTAAATCAAATTTTAAAGAACAGGCAACCAAATGAATCGACTGCTCTTTGCATTCAGCATATTTTCTTTCACTTCCTCTGTTATCTTCCTCTCTGGACTTTATAATTCAACATTCCTTATTCATGATCTCCACAATTCTTTCTGGCCACTCCAAACTACTTAACCTGGGCCATCCTTGTCATACACTCAGGAAAATCCAAGCAGAAGATCTGAGTGTTTTAAAAATAAAAATGGCAAATAAGCTCATTTTAGAGCATAGAAAGTCTAGTCTATTTAATTTTTCTCAGTGAAAAATTCAATGAAAATGATTACTATACTCTTAAACTTAAGTGTTAAGATAAATTGAGACACTGTTTTGCAAATGTACTATTATTATCATCAATTCATAGAGAGTTTATTGTTTGTAGAAGGAAAAGACAGAATCCCACTTTTATTAGAAATAAATTGAATTAGTAACAGAAATGTTGCTGATAATAAGCAAAGTATTCAACTTGCACAACAGAGTGGTGTTCAAATGTCAGTGGAAAATAAAAACTATACTCTTAAACTTACATGGGTGTTAAGAATGTTACCATTTTGGAAACATTAAGAATGTGCATTCTGGGGAAGGCCCTGTTACTTAGTGTTGTGTTTGAGTTTTAATTTCTTGTTCTGTTCGTTCTACCAATAGTAGAAAAGCTTAAAATGTGTCAGGTAACGTTTTGGAAAACAAACTGAATATTGGATCATAAAATGTGTATTTAGACATCTGGCTTGTCTTAAATATGTGCAGACTTGTTCTAATTCTGCAAATGTCTTCAAGACAGTCCAAACACGAAACTCGATTTCATTTTATTTTATCCAGCTTTAGGAAGGACTGGAATGCAATTCAATATATCAACATAAATCAATGAAATGTAGTACACATTTTAATACTGAACCAGAATAAGATTGTGATATGTATGGTGGCACATACAAAAACAAGTTTATTCTTTCAACTTACCTATTATGGGAAAATATTTGTGCATGTTTTTTGTCAGATTTCCATCCATTACTTGCCAGTGAAATATGTCCTGCAACAGTGAATGCAACTGCAGAGTAAACTGATAACTTTTTTGATTTATATTCTTTCCTTAAGCTGAGACACATTTTCAAAGTACGAACCATCTGTAGCTGGATGTTGGGCTTGCCAACCTTCTCCAGTATTGCTGCAGCTGCAAAACATCCAACACAATCAAAAATGATGCTCCAACTACAGTTCTGCTTCAGGCCGAGTTCTAACAAATATACGTTATAATTAAAAACATGAACAAATAATAAAAAGTTCCAATTATCTGGTATTCCTGAATTAACAAAAAGCCACGTTAAAGAATAAAACATCTACCTTAATAACACAATTATTTGGAAAATTTTACAGCATTTTCCATAATGAAATTATGAGTATCACACAACGTCGAAAAGCAAACATTTGGAAACTTCTGTATTTCTTTGAAGAAATGACACCACTTATGAATGCACAAATTTTCTTTTTCTGTCATTATTTATATTTTTTTCTTCTGTTTTCACATCAAACTACTGTCTCTAAATGTGCCATATACTCACAATTTTACTCAAAGGACCTGTGTTCAAGATGAGGTAGTAAGTTGTTTTGGAAATGCAGTCTGTTAACCACCTGAATCAGTTACTCTGCTGTTCTTAGAGGCAGCCAGTCTTACCTTGATGAGGGGAGTCCAGAAAGTAGCAAGGGTCTGTAATTCTTGTGTTGATTGGCTCAATCAATCCAGTGATTCCTTCCTGTTGGGAACATTCTGATTATGACTGTTGAACTCCAATAAAAAAACTATCAAAATAAACTAAATGCCTCTTTAGGCATTTAGTGAAATGCTGACAGCATGTTGAGTTATGGACCGGACGCTTTGGAGGGTCTGGTTCAAAGGTGCATTCCAAATCTTTGCTGGAAATGGTGCGTTTAGGGCTATCATAAATGAATATTTTAGCAATCGAGTAATCTATTGATTATTCTTACGATTAATCGAGTAATCTGACACAAAAAGATAAAATAAAATATTGGTAAATCTAACATAACAGAAGTGTTACTATTGCATCAACATCAGTCCAATTTTTCACATTTAACTTTTCCTAACAATTACTTAAGAAAATTTACCTGTAACAATAACAGCTCACTTTAAAAGTTAGACTGAAAAAATTGTGTACAAAAATATGAAATTATATTCAATTCAATAACAAATAAGCAGGCTCACAAATACTAAAAAATGTCTGTAATGTCCCAGCTTTTAGTTTATATGCATCTTCAGTCAGTTATAGATGAACTCTCACCTTGCCCAAACTTCTATAGCTTTTGTGTTCATGTTGGCGAAGTGGTTTAACACCTTTGTTTGTCACACACAGAAACTTCATGTCAACTTCAAACGGACATTTTTTTGGTCACAAACAGATAACCAAACCTTCTGGCCAGGGTTGTATGTGGGAGCAGGTGTTTTAGGGTCAGTGAGGCATTTGTTCAGTTCCGAGGTGTTGTTGAGAGCAGTGATGGTATTCTTCCAGATATTCTTGCAGTGACAGATGTGATGTTGGACCAAGGTGACCGAGATGATACTTTCGTCGGAGGTCAGTGTTAGCTGATAATCATATTCCAAATGGAGAAATAATAGTAGCAGCAGAAATGTGACTTTTATAAGCATACTCAACCCAGGTAAGGAACTGACTCCAGTCAGCACGATTTGTGGAAGTGGAATATTGGAGAGTTGATTCTAAATATTGATTCATACGTTTAGTTTGGCCGTTTGATTGTGGATGATATCTGGAAGGTAATGTGACTTTGGCATTGAGAGCTAGACAAAAATGTTGCCAAACCTGAGAAATGAATTCCATGCAGTCAAAAAACATGTTTAATGAGTAGCTGGGCAGTTTGGGGGCTTTCTGAGGGGAGTTAAATGACAGGATTTGGAAAAAGGGTCGATGATGGTGAAGATTGTGATGATGGGGGTAAGCTGGTGAAAAAGTCGACGGAAATGTGGGACCAAGAGCATTTGGGTATTGGTAATGGTTGAAGACCAGAGGGAGATTGATGAGATGAGGTATTGGCTGCTTGTTCTGGAGCAGACTGAACAGGCTAGGACATACTCTCTCACATCTTTATGAACAGATGGCCACCAAAACCCACAGTTAATGAAGGAAATGTGTGACTGATACCTGGGTTTCCGGAGAATTTGGATGAGTGGATCCAGTGGAGGAGTGAATCTACGTACGCTCTGTCCGGTGTGTACGTGGGGGGGATGTATCAGGAACGGGTTCCGATTGTTGAGCTTGTTGGATTAAATCCTCAACCTCCAGAGAACAGCAATAATAAGTACAGCTACAGATAGAATGGTGGCAGAGGACTTCTCTGAATTGTCAGGTGAATGGAGTCGTGACAGGGCATCCGGTTGGATGTTTCTGGATTATGGGCAATAAGAAATGGAAAGGTTGAATCTGTAGAAGAACAAATACCAAAGAGACTAACGAGGGCTTAATCTTTTGGAAGATTGGAGATAGAAGAAGTTCTTGTGATCAGTCCAGACCAGCACGGGATGTTCTGTACCCTCAAATCAATGCCGCCATTCCTCCAAAGCTGGCTTTATGGCTTGACGTTCTTGATCACCTACATCATAGTTGCATTCACTGGGAGACAATCTGCAGGAGAAAAAGGCTCAATGGTGGGTGAAAGTATGGCTCCAACTCTGGTATCAGACACATCAGCTTCTACAATGAATGGCTGGATCTGGTTGGATGAGTACTGGAGCATTGGCGAAGAGTGATTTGAGCTGTTTGAAAGCTGGGCAAGCTTCACGAGTCCAAACAAAAGTAGTCTTGTTTGAGGTTAGTGCAGTTAGAGATAATGCCGTTTGGCTGTAGTTGTGAATTAAGCGGCGGTAGAAGTTAGCAAATCCGAGAAACCTCCATAGCTCCTTTTGTGTCTCAGGAGTAGTGTCTCAATTCAAAACTGCCTTGACTTTCTTCTCCATAGGCATTACCTGTCTGCCGTCGAGAATGAATCCAAGTAATTAAACTGATGTATGATGGAACTCACATTTTATGGATTTGATACAGCTCATTTTTCATGAGGCTTTGAAGGATGATAAAGACATGTTGTTTGTGCTCAGCAAGGGACTTAGAATAGATTTTAAAAAAGTCAAGGTAAACAAAAACATTCAGAAAGTCTCTCAATACGTCATTTACGAGGGCTAGAAAAAAATGCTGGAGCATTAGACAACCGGAAAAGCATTACTAAATACTCAAAGTGTCCGATGGGCGTTTTAAATGCAGTCTTCCACTCGTCCCCCTGGCGGATACAAAGAAGATGATATGCATTTCTGAGATCTAGCTCGGTAAAAATAGTGGCTCCATGTACTTGGCTTGTACTGGTTCAAAAACAGGAAAGGAGAGGCAGAGGATTCTTGTCTTTATCCGATTCAAACCTCTGAAGGCGATGCACGGTTTGAGCAATCTGTCCTTCTTACCTACGAAGAAGAATCCAGCACTCAGGGGACAGGAGGAAGGGTGAATTATTCCAGCTGCCAGGGAATCTTTAAGACACTTCTTCATTGTCTTGCGCTCAGGTAGTGAAATGTTGTACAGACGGCTGGTGGGTAATGAAGATCTATGGCAGTCATAGGGGCGATGAGGTGGAAGTAATAGCGCTTTAGTTTTACTGAAAACAGGTGCTAAATCGTGGTACTTGGCTGGGATGGATGATAAATCGGAGGGTCTACTTCTTGTAGTCCTGTTGGTGATGGACCTGAGGGAACTGCAGAACGGAAACACCAAAGAGACTTTTGACAATTCGCCGACCAGGATTCAATGTGCATATCAGACCAGTTGATGTCTGGGTTTTGTTATTGTAACCATTCAAAACCTAAGATTACGGAGGAGTTAGCTGCTGGAAAAACAAAAGATAAAATGTATTCATTGTGGTTACCAGAAATGATTAAATGCAGCGGCTTAGTTTTGAGGGCGATCTGAGGAAGGGCCTTCCCATCTAAGGCAGAGACATGAAGAGGTACGGTGAGAGGAGCAGTTTCTATGAATCTGTTGGAAGAAAACTGAATCAATAAGATTTTGTTCACAACCGAACAAAATTGATGATGACAGACAATGGGAAAGATTGATTATTTATAAACAGAGTTGCAAAAAACAGTAGGCAAGGAGATTTCTCTTTCTGAAGGTGGTCTGCCAGTCTCCTCGCTTCTACTGGCAGACCTGGGGTTTTGACCGAACCAGGCAAAGGGCAATAAAGTAACCATGAGACCTACAGTACAAACAGAGACGGGAGATCAGCCTTTTTTGTCTCTCCTCCGGGGTGAGATGTGTGTGGCCTATTTGCATGAGTTCGGGGTTCATTTGATTCTGCGGAGAGGAAACGGAGTGAGTAGGAGCAGAGACAGAAAATGTTCTGACAGGTGGGATTCTTTGGTTTCCTTCTTTTGTTCTTGAATGGATTCTGTTATTGAGTTGGATGGTCTGATTTATTAGTTCTTCCAATGTCTCGGGTTCATGTAGTGTGGCTAATTCATCCTTAATAGATTCATTTAATGCATGAAAAGCACTCTTTAAGGCTGCAGCGTTCCAGCAAGAAATTGAAACTTCAGGAAGGAATTGACTGAGCTTAATTGATGTGAAGAAAATCTTCCGCCAGGAGGGTTATACAGCGGTCTCCACGGTATGGTGTCTTTGTGGGTTTCTTTGAAGTGATCCAGATTCTAGTGTGAGGTCTTGTCGGAGTTGATCGACGGTGAATAGAGAGGCTTGCGGTGGAGGGCAGACAGGTAAGTTCAGATGTGGAGAAACGAGGAGCAAACCGACTGCCAGCTGGGAATCCAGGAACAGTTTATTGAAGACCTGCAGAGACGAAGAAGAGACTTAGGCAACCAGTGGGTAACAATCCACAGCATCACGAGGGGAGAGAATTTCCAAGGTGTCACAAGGAAACATTAGAGAGAGAGAGAGAGAGACAACAAAGGTAAAATACTAGAGGCAATTTCAGAGAAATACAGAGAGCTTTCTCTGAGGGGCACCAATTACCATAACTGGCAAACACTCAGGTGTTAAAGTGCTGGCAGCTGGCTCCTCATATACTGTGGGATGATTGATTGATGAACCAGCGCAGATTTCTCAGTATATCTGACCAGGAGGAATTATTGAAGCTGTGCGTTCACACTACAGCAGCAGAAGTGCTGGTAATTTAAGTGGAGCCGTTTAATTTAATTTATTGTATGTTATTGGGGCGTCAGTCAGACAGTCAGTGGTTTGTTTCATGGAGAAAAAGTTAGATGCATTTATCTGCTTTATGTGTGATGGGATCTGGATTCACAGTTCAACTAGGTGAATATGTAATACATTGTTTTGTGAAATTTTAAGCAGGATTGGGGGTGATCAGTGATAAATAACGACAACACGCTGTTCTGCTAGAATAAATGTGTTCTTTTATTCCGCCACAGATTACAGCAAATTCATTCACACAACAAAATATACGTAATGCTTAGATTCTTTCAATCCGCTCTTACCGTGACACAGTGAACTGGAGAGCCGACAGTTCGGGGAAGAGCTACAGCATCACGTAACTGGGCATCCGTACGTAACCCACAGCAGAGACTCTCCTGAACAATGGGACTTTTCTGCCTTTTATACTCATTACCAAAACAACCTCGAATGAAAGAAGGGAATGGCCATTTCCCCTCTTCCAGACGGGTTAGCCAATCAGAATGCTACTTCCCTGCCCACGACTCGACCATGAGCTCATTCCATGATTCAATCAATATACAGCACTCAACTTTCTGTTGTGCTTAAAATGTATAAAATGAGCATGAAACATACAATTTATCAAAGAACATAGAAAATTCTTACATCATATATATATATATATATATATATATATATATATATATATATATATATATATATATATATATATATATATATATAAATTCCCTTCTCACCCACCGCGGGTGGTTCTTATCCTCTGAACTCGGGTCCTCTACCAGAGGCCTGGGAGCTTGAGGGTTCTGCGCAGTATCTTGGCTGTGCCAAGGACTGCTGCACATTTCTGGACTGAGATGTCTGATGTTGTTCCTGGGATCTGTTGTAGCCATTGATCCAGTTTGGGGGTTACTGCCCCGAGGGCCCCGATGACCACAGGCACCACTGTGGTCTTCACCTTCCAGGCCCTCTCCAGTTCCTTCCTGAGGCCCTGGTATTTCTCCAGTTTCTCGTGCTCCTTTTTCCTGATGTTGCAGTTGCTTGGTATTGCTACATCTACCACAACGGCTTTCCTCTGTTGTTTATTCACTACGACAATGTCTGGTTGGTTCGCCATTACCATTTGTCTGTCTGGATCTGGAAGTCCCACAGGATCTTAGCTCTGGCGTTCTCCACCACCTTTGGGGGTGTTTCCCACTTTGATCTCGGGGTTTCCAGTCCATATTCTGCACAGATGTTTCTGTACACTATGCCTGCCACTTGGTTATGTCGCTCCATGTACGCTTTCCCTGCCAGTATCTTGCACCCTGCTGTGATGTGCTGGACTGTCTCAGGGGCCTCCTTGCACAACCTACACCTTGGGTCTTGTCTGGTGTGGTAGATCTGGGCCTCTATTGCTCTGGTGTTTAGGGCCTGTTCCTGGGCGGCCAGGATGAGGGCCTCTGTGCTGTCCTTGAGTCCAGCTTTTTCCAGCCATTGGTAGGATTTACTGATATCAGCCACTTGGGTTATTTGCTGGTGGTACATCCCATGTAGGGGCTTGTCCTCCCATGATGGCATCTCTGGCACCTCAACCTCCGTTCCCTGTTGTCTGAGACATTCACTGAGCACATTGTCTGTTGAGGCTTTGTCCCTGATGTATTTATGGATCTTAGTTGTTTTGTCCTGGACAGTGGTTCTCACACTCACTAGTCCTCTGCCTCCGTCCTTGCGGCTCGTGTACGGTCTCAGGTTGCTGGATTTGGGGTGGAACCCTCCATGCATGGTTAGTAGTTTGAGTCTTAACATCTGTGGCCTTTATCTGTCCTAATTATTCCAGCAGGTTATCTGATTACTGGCAAGGCATAGTTGTTTATCGCATGGACATTGTTCTTGCCATTGAGCTTTGGAGGTATTTGGCTGTATATATATATATATATATATATATATACACACATGACATCCCCACCTTCCTACCAAACAAAATAACCTGACCTTGGCCAAGATATCAGCTGCGTAGTTTAGGTTCTGCACAAAGACATCCTCCATTTCTCTTCCAACTGCAGCTCTGTGAACATCCACTGGAATCCTTCCTGCCATTAGGTGAATTCTGTCAAGAGATCAGAGTTTTCTTCAGTGCAATAAACCAGGAAATATGTAAAATAATGCTCAGCCCCTCAATTAAGACACTGGGTTAAATTTCTTTTTTCATTTTTTATATGATATGAAAAATAGAAAGAAAACAGATGGCCATTAGAGAGGATTGTATTACATGTGGAAAATCTGATGTTTGACACATTTGCAAAGAGAAATCCTATGACTTCAGACCTGATGCCACACGACCTTTTGTTTACATTTTGTGGAGGAGGCTACACTGGTTTTGTAAAATAATTATTGAGAAATAATGCAAAAAGTACAACAAAATCCAGTGTAATGAGAGCTTCCAGAGGGTTACACACATTAAAGTATTATTAACTTAAAATAATACATTAAGAGATCATATAAGAAACAAATTTTATTGGTTTTCGTATTAGTGAAATTTCTAATGGTTTTAATATATCGTGTGATCTCATTTTCAAAAAAATGGAGACTAGTGGTTTTTGATATGCTATATGTTTAAGTGAAATAATTACTCCATCCATAATAACATTACCATACCTTTGATGTAACCAATACTACTGGCTGATTACTTAATCAGGATTTACTGAAGTGCAAAAAATATTCAATTGTATTTTTTTGTATTTGCCCTTTAAAAACAAAACAAAAAAACACTGTTGATAATGTTTAAGTATTCTCAATAATATTAGAATAACATAATTATCTAGTATATTTTCAAACATCCCGTCATTTTTAAATTTTTGCACAATTCAGTGGACAGTGGTGTACTGCCCTAGTGCCCCTACCACCAAGCTAATAACACTTTCTGTGTTATTCAGTGGCGGAGCCAGAGGGGTGGCACTTGCCACCCCCAACAGAGCCCTGGCCACCCCTAGTGCCACCCCACTGGAAATGGTAATTTTATACTTATGAGATCGGCAAAGATTTGCCAGGAAAAATGTAATTTCCGATTGTCCCTGAAGGCAGCTCGATGCCCGACGCTGTTCATTGGTTAAACTGACATGTGGGTCCTGCTTGTTCAAAAACACATCAACGGCTTTAGAGTTACACCGTCAGGAGTTTTGCAGGTATTTACAACATTTTACCGCTCAGCAGTAACCGCTGTTACCTTCCTAATGAGAGGCGGCACTTGTCATACATTTCTAAAAACAACAACAAAAAAAAGGTTGTGCACCGCTGCATAGTGCCTCGTTTATTATATTAGCCATGTTAGTGCTAATAGATCGTGTTTTAGACAGATTCTTTTAACATATATTTTAGTGACATGCTGCCCTCTAATGTTTTATTTCTCCCAGCTCTTGCTTGAAATGTGTGGTAAGAATATGAGAAAAACCATTAAGTTTTATAATGACTGAAATGTAAGTAGGCTATGTCATATGAAAGCTTTGAATTATAACCTAACTAGTTATATTAATTAATTTTAATTAATCTATTTTTAATTTAGTATTTTAGCTAGCTACAGAAAACTAAAAACTATAGTTTAAATAATAGTTAAAATAGTGTCTCTGCCAAACAGTCATGGAGTCTAAATACCAGGCTGTCTTATTTTGTGTAGAGCCCAAATGAAGAGAGAAGGGAAGATCTCCCAGTTCTTCTTAAAGAGGCAAAAACCAGACCAGGACCAGACAGAACCCTGCAGCAGTGACCAGGACCAGACAGAACCCTGCAGCAGTGACCAGGACCAGACAGAACCCTGCAGCAGTGACCAGGACCAGACAGAACCCTGCAGCAGTGACCAGGACCAGACAGAACCCTGCAGCAGTGACCAGGACCAGACAGAACCCTGCAGCAGTGACCAGGACCAGACAGAACCCTGCAGCAGTGACCAGGACCAGACAGAACCCTGCAGCAGTGACCAGGACCAGACAGAACCCTGCAGCAGTGACCAGGACCAGACAGAACCCTGCAGCAGTGACCAGGACCAGACAGAACCCTGCAGCAGTGACCAGGACCAGACAGAACCCTGCAGCAGTGACCAGGACCAGACAGAACCCTGCAGCAGTGACCAGGACCAGACAGAACCCTGCAGCAGTGACCAGGACCAGACAGAACCCTGCAGCAGTGACCAGGACCAGACAGAACCCTGCAGCAGTGACCAGGACCAGACAGAACTCTGCAGCAGTGACCAGGACCAGACAGAACCCTGCAGCAGTGACCAGGACCAGACAGAACCCTGCAGCAGTGACCAGGACCAGACAGAACTCTGCAGCAGTGACCAGGACCAGACAGAACTCTGCAGCAGTGACCAACCTGAAGAATCCAGCCAGGAGACTCCAGGCCCAAGTGTATCACCAGCGGGTTAGAGGCTGTGACAGAGAGTTATTAAGTATTAAAATCCAATAAGCCTAATTCTAAAGGTTAGCATGATGCTTTTTGCATTTTTTATTGTGTCTGTTTATGCATTTCCAATTAAGTTCCAGAGAGAAATGAGGGTGATAGAGATTCAGAGTCAGACTCTGGGGAGGAAGACAGTGAAGCAGAAGGAAATGGCACTGAACTGCCCCCACCCAGCACAACCTATTGCACACCAGAAGCACCAGTTTATTTATTTATTTATTTTTGAGAATTTGTTTTTGGTCATATTCTGGGCTCTGAGTTTACATTTACATGTTCACTGTTCCATAGTGCCGTTTAACGTCTTGTTTGGTCATGGCAAATCTTTGTTAAATAAACCATTTTAATTTGAGTGTGGGTGAGAAAATATTTGTTTCCTTTTGTTCATCATTTGTATATGGACCATCTGATAAAGCCTTGCTCATCCTTTGGCCACCCCTTGAAAAAAAAGTCTAGCTCCGCCACTGGTGTTATTCACAAGAACTCCTGTTCATCAATTTGCCACTGAAAGCCATCATCTCAAGAACTCAAGCCCAATAGGACAAAAAATGGGATAAATTCCAAACAGAGAAGTGAACAAAGATGACAATTGATGGAATTGGGAGGGACATCTAGCACTACAAACACAAAAGGAAATCTCCATCAAATTTTTCTTTCGTTACCTTTGTAATTGTCAATGGTTTGACATTGACAAATATTTATAGTTTCAAATAATTTTATTCTGTCAGTTGCTTCCCATGGGAGATGTCTCAAAAGTTTTCAGGAAGAGTGTTCTCTGACCTCTTGCAGTTCAAAGCTTTTGCATACTTCAGAGTAAGATCCAGGCCTTCTCTAAACTCCAGCTGTCTCCCTGGAACTGCTCCCAAACCGAGATCGCCTGCCTTTATATCCCCTGCAACACAACCATATAGATAAGTTTACATAGCGCCACAGATCACAATAAATGTTGTCTTAAAAAAGCACTTGTCATAAAAGAAAAGTCAAATAAACATGACATCAGCAGTGTCTCTGCCATTTATCTCGGTGCTTTAGCTATGCCTGTGCAGTACCTGGTGGGGTGTTGATAAGGACGACTTCCACTCCAGTTGCCTCCTTGGCTTTCTGGAGCTCCGACAGGTCCGAATCGTAAAGCCAAGCTGCTTCCACAGCTTGAAACCCGGCAGAAGCAGCCGCATAGATTCTCTTGCTGAAGTCTGGATGCTCAGTAAACAGCCATGAAATATTCGCACAAAACTTTAACGCAGTCATGTTGTTAACCAGTTTGAGCGAATGACCCTGTGATCAGGCAGCCAGACTACTTTACCACATAGGCGAAACGTCAACGTTCGATTCCGACGTTAATGTTATTGTCATAATGTGATAAGCATTTTCGGGAAACGCTAAAGGGTTAAGTTTTTAGTAGCGATAGACTAGACGACAAAGAAACATCGGCACCTGCGCCGAGCAAACCAAACGAACCTCTTTATGGTGCACGTATCAAGTTACGGTAAACCACGTGACCGATACAGTTGCTGTGTCTTTTAGTCGTGAACGCGCTAAATTGTATGAGGGATATACTTTGTGTTATTTGCCTTGCCTTGGTTTTGGCACGTATTTGAATACCGATTCTGACTATCTGTGCTACCTCGTCAGATTTTCCTACCGTAGCACGTTAGACACCTGTATCTGTCGGTGCTACGCGTCTAAAACTGCTACCGTCATGTTTACAAAATAGCGGGTTGTGTTCATGTTAAATATTAAAATCGGATAACATTCTTTCAGTGACTGGACTTAAGTGGAAGCTTAAGAGTTATGCATGGTATTAGAACAATTTATATAAACGACGAAATCACAAAAATATCACTTTGTTACCTTCTGTAAGTCTCGAACATGTGTTTATTTCGGCACGTTCGCTGGTTCACAAGCTCGAATCAGAACCAGTCGTACTCCCCTTGTGGGCAAAGGCAAGGAAGAGGTAGATGAACGCGTTAAGAGCTCTATTCCTCTTTTGGCAGGATGAACAAGTACAACACACTGGCCAGCTGGCTTCCCTAAAACTAACATAACCCGCTCTCAACAACAACCGGATACGTCCCTCACTCTTCTTCTTCCCCAGGACAAACACGTTGCTCTCTACTGCCTACTAGAGAAAGGCTGGGTCTGTTACACATAGTGTTGCTTCCCCTATGTGCCGTGTTATTTAGTAAAATGTTTTATTATACAAAAATATGTTTAATGTATAATGTCAAAATAGCCCACAAAAACAATGTTTTTTAATCATAATTCACGTGGTTGACCCCGCACAATGACTTGTTAACAGAATACGGTATAGTAACGCCATAGTAGCCAGATGGCAAGAAAAACCTTTTATAAAAATGTTTACTAGCTGCCCATCATATAAGCTTAAAACATGAAGTAATATAGCAGCTTAATGAAAGGTAGCTATAAAATAAATAAAGCTTACCGTTTCCCTAAATAACACAGACAAACTTCCACAGGGAGGATGCATTGATAATAAATCTGTTGAATAAGCAGTATTTAACGTTTAATTTGTTGTTGTTGTATGCAACGATTGCCAATTAATTTATTGAACAAATTTGAATTGGAATTATGAAATGCACTGTTGGAAACAAATTTTTGTTTTCTTTTCCATTTTATATTATGAAGTTAGAATTAGCTATGAAACCTTGAAAGTTAATGTTTTATATAATAAAACATTAACTGCATTTTATTGTATATATATATATATATATATATATATATATATATATATATATATATATATATATATATATATATATATATATGTATATATATATATATATATATAAATACAATTCCTTTCTCACCCACCGCGGGTGGTTCTTATCCTCTGAGCTCGGGTCCTCTACCAGAGGCCTGGGAGCTTGAGGGTCCTGCAGTATCTTGGCTGTGCCAAGGACTGCTGCACATTTCTGGACTGAGATGTCTGATGTTGTTCCTGGGATCTGTTGTAGCCATTGATCCAGTTTGGGGGTTACTGCCCCGAGGGCCCCGATGACCACAGGCACCACTGTGGTCCTCACCTTCCAGGCCCTCTCCAGTTCTTCCCTGAGGCCCTGGTATTTCTCCAGTTTCTCGTGCTCCTATCTATCTATCTATCTATATATATATATATATATATATATATATATATATATATATATATATATATATATATATATACACATATATATATATATATATATATATATATATATATATATATATATATATATATGTAGAGGCCCAGATCTACCACACCAGACAAGACCCAAGGTGTAGGTTGTGCAAGGAGGCCCCTGAGACAGTCCAGCACATCACAGCAGGGTGCAAGATACTGGCAGGGAAAGCGTACATGGAACGACATAACCAAGTGGCAGGCATAGTGTACAGAAACATCTGTGCAGAATATGGACTGGAAACCCCGAGATCAAAGTGGGAAACACCCCCAAAGGTGGTGGAGAACGCCAGAGCTAAGATCCTGTGGGACTTCCAGATCCAGACAGACAGAATGGTAATGGCGAACCAACCAGACATTGTCGTAGTGAATAAACAACAGAGGAAAGCCGTTGTGGTAGATGTAGCAATACCAAGCAACTGCAACATCAGGAAAAAGGAGCACGAGAAACTGGAGAAATACCAGGGCCTCAGGGAGGAACTGGAGAGGGCCTGGAAGGTGAAGACCACAGTGGTGCCTGTGGTCATCGGGGCCCTCGGGGCAGTAACCCCCAAACTGGAGCAGTGGCTACAACAGATCCCAGGAACAACATCAGACATCTCAGTCCAGAAATGTGCAGCAGTCCTTGGCACAGCCAAGGTACTGCGCAGAACCCTCAAGCTCCCAGGCCTCTGGTAGAGGACCCGAGCTCAGAGGATAAGAACCACCCGCGGTGGGAGAGAAGGGAATTTTTTTTTTTTTTTTTATATATTGTGTGTGTGTGTGTGTGGACTTTATGTATATTTTCTGACCTTTTAGGTCAGGGTTTTTTCCCCTCGTTTTCACTTGATGACTGAAGACGGTGAGCTACCCACCTCGTGGTAGGAAACTGAACCGCACTCTGCACACAAGAAACTGGATCAAACTGAACTCAGGAAATCGAACCAAATTCTTAGGATCACTATAGGGAAAAAAACTATTATTCCCCCCTTATTCTTGGACTTTCTTTGGACTCTATGAAAAGTGGTTGACTTGTCTTGGGTTTTGAAGTGTCACTGATATTTAATTTTATTTTATTTTTCTATCAATTGAGCCAAATGCATTAGTTTGGTATTGTTATTATTATTGCTGCTGCCACTATTAATTAAGAGTCAAGTACCAAGGCAAGTTTTCTGCTGGCATTCAAGTTAGCAAAGGCTAGCAAGCCTTTCTCCGAAGGCGAATTTTTGAAAGAATGTATGGTAGAGACAGCAGATCTCTTGTGTCCAGAAAGCAAAGGCAAGTTTGAAAAAGTCAGCTTGTCACGCAGGACAGTGACTCGGGGTGTGGAACTAATTGACGAAGATATAGTCAGCGAGTTAAACAAAAAGGCGGAGTCCTTTAATTTATATTCACTAGCACTGGATGAAAAGTCACTTCAGCTGGTGTCCTGTCCCCTGTCCCAAGACCCCGAAACAGCACCTCATGAGCTGCAATTGGAGCTGATCGATCTCCAGTCTGACTCCGTCTCAAAAGAGAAGTTCACATCTCTTAAACTGAATGACTTTTATGCTTCGAAGCCACATTTCCAAACCTCCGGAGGATGGCACAGAAGATGCTGGTATTGTTTGGCTCCACCTACGTGTGTGAGCAACTTTCAGCGTCATCAACAAATCCCGTCACAGATCCGGTTAACTGACCAACACCTCAGATCGATTCTGAGAATTGCCACAACTAAACTAACTCCAGACTTTGATGCACTGGCAAAAAAGGAGAACAACAACACTGTTCCCACTGAGATGTGAGTTTCTTTACTGTCTGATGAAAAAAATAGCAACTTTAGCATTTACGCGGCAGCGGTACAGTAGCTTAATTAACATGCCGATTATCGCTCTCATTTTAAATACCCCTTTCTTTCGTTGGGTGATAACATTGTAACGATTCTGTGTTTTAGTTCTACTGGGGTTCACATGGTTATGTGTTAAAAGTGACATTGTGTTGCTTATTACATGTAGCGTTATGTACTTCCTCTGTCTGACTCTGCTGACTCCCACTCACACGTGATTGGTTGGTCTGTCATGTGGGGGAGGAGAAGCAAGAGTTCGGTTGTCAGTTAAGCTGTCAGGGAGTGAACCAGTTTGTTAGGGGCTGCAGCCATAATAATAGCAGCTCCTATTCTTATTTATAATAAACCCTGTTTGACGGGACTACAGCTGCAGTGTTAGCATCATTATAATATGTTCTGAATGTTGAAAGTGATTCCATTGATCTTTTTCCACTAATGTTGATTTCTTTAAATTTGCACCTTCAATTGTGTGTTTTCCATACATTTCAATACCCAGGTTTAATAAATTACATTGCATGTCCAAATGCTCCTGGCCCCTCTGTCAAATTTTAGAACCCATTCTGGCCCGCAAGTCAAAAAGTTTGCCCACCTCTGTTCTAGCCAGTCATTCTCTGACCAGCAGGGAATGCCACCAGGACCCAGCCACCCCACTGCACCACCAACCCAGAGAGTTCCTCTGTCTGGGAATGATCTTATTCCCCAGGAAGTTCAAAGAGTTGTGGTAGAGCATGTTGTAAAAAATAGTGACTTTTCCACATCTTCATTAAGGCTCCGCTCATTTTCAGGAAAAATTCCAAAGCCCAGTAATGAAGCAGACTATGACTTATGACCAGTTATGGCATAGTTACTTTTAAAAATGTATCTTCGTTAGATTACTGACTACTTGATTTGGAATGTAACTAAGTTACATTGAAAGTAACTATTTTAGTTACTTTCACCAGCTGCTAACAACAGTGCTCCGACACCAGTGAAATTACATTGAGCTTTGCCAATACTTAATTAGAAACTATTTTATCATATTAACATCAACAATGTATTTCCACTTATATAGTTGAACCGAGGGGAGATTATTTAATGGTTACAACTGTTAAAAAAATTTAAGTAATTTGTGTGTGTTTCTATTGCCTGGAAAACACTTGAGAGTGATTTTAAATCCCCCATCCTGCCCTCAGCCTCCAGGTTGTGTGTTACGGCCCTGTGTTTGGTGTCAGAGAGCAGCGCACCGATCTCCTGTCGCACCACAATTCAGATGGCTGCACAGATTTGTGACATGAATCTTAATATTAATTATTATAATTGCATTTAGTTGCACAACTTTACGGACTTGTTCATTTGTGGCTGCTTTCAAATTTTATTGTGCTGTTCATATTAGTCTTGGTGTTTTCAACACAAAGCTTGATGTCATTCAGAGGTGATATATTAAATTCACATGAACGAAGTTACAGCAGAACGGACCATCCGGGAAATAATGGACTAAAACATTGTCAGACAAATTCTGGGGTTTATTATGAATCTGCTTATTTCTCAACCCAAATGAGTAACTTCACATTCAAAACCAAGGCCAAAAACTCATAAAATTTGCAGGCGACTTTTTTTTATTGATTTATTTATTTCAAAACGAGCTCAAGTAATATAATAATTCAAAATAGTTCCTGTGTTTCTACCAACAAAGATTCCATGTTAATAGGCGAATTATTGAAAGCTATTGATTTGATTAAATGTTTGAGCGCTGGTCCACTGCCTTCCACTCAATTTCAAATTCTCGATTCAGCCTTTCAAACAGTACAGGATGGAGAGGAGCTTTTGGCTCAGTTTTCAAACATCTCTCCGAATCCTGGCCATCCTCCTCTCTCCTGTGATGGCAGCACAGTAATAAAAAAAGGAGGAATATTACCACAAGACAGACACATTTACTGAAACATTTGTGTTGTGGATGCTGGGACAACTCAGTAATTTTTAAGTTACAACTTAAGGAGAAGAAAAGCATGATTTGAACTGTAAATGGTTCTCTGTGCTGGACCTAAAATATGGGTATTACCATATAGAAATGGAGGAAACTGACAAGAACAAAACAGCCTTTGTTTGTCCTTTAGGCT